TCCCATAAACGCCTGGGCTCAGGAACTCAGATCAGACATCATCATTGGAAGGGCTGATACTGTAAGTCATTAATGTCTTAGGCCTCCATGGGAAACAGGACAATCCACTGACCATGTGTTAACGATGCCTGAGAATGGAAAGATGTTGTGCTTGCATGGGGGATACAGCTAACATTCAGAAACTGCAGTATCCCACCTCTAGGTATGTTAGACCGAGCTGAGATTCAAAACCAGACTTCAAGGTGTCCTAGGGCAGATGAATTGCTTGTCTGAAATTCACCTGCTTCATCTAAAAAGACAGGTCTTAAAAACATAAAATAAAACAACAACAACAACAACAAAATATTCTGGGCTGGGGATGTAGCTCAGTGGGTAGTGATCTTGTCTAGCATGCATGAAGCCCTGGATTTGATCCCCAGGACAGAATAAATTTGGTGCGATTACACTTGTAATCCTAGCACTTGGGATATGGAGGTAGGAGAATCAGAAGCTCAAGGTCATCCTTGACTATATTATATTTTAGATCATCCAGGGCTACATAATGATTTTGAGGGCATCCTGAGCTATGTAAACACTCTGTCTGAAAAGTAAAATAATTAAACAATGAACAACAACCCTCTCCTCTTGTGAGACTACATGGCAAGAAACCTGTGATATCTATTGAAATCTGACACAAGTTGGATTCTGATGCAACCATTGTTAGAAAAGACCTCACAGGTTAGGACTCAGTCCTACAAGAAGGAACCCTGATTCAGATAACAACTCTAAGCAGAGTGTCCAGGCCACCCACAACTTCTGCCCCTCTTGGTTACAAATTGTGAGCTTCCACAACTGCCCCCTTACCAGTCTCACAGAATCCAGGAAAATAATGTGCTTATTATTGCCAATTGATTGCGAAGAATACCTTAAAGATTTCAAGTAGTTTACAGGCAGTAAAGATGCAGACCCTGGATGAAGATTGTTTTTATTGAAACAGGTTCTTACAGATTTCAGGCTGGTCTCAAGTTTACTGAGTAGCCAAGGATAATTTTGAAGTGTGAATTCTTTTGTCGTCACTTCCCGAGTGCTGAGATTACAGGCATGCACCGCCATGCCTGGTTTATACAGTGCTGGGCATTATATCCTGGTCTTCATGCACGCTAGGCGAGCACGGTACCAGCTGAGCTACATTCTAGCTGACTACCGAGATTTTGAATTTTGGCAATGCAATTAACCTCTCTGTGCCTCAGTTCCCCAGCGGAATATAAGAGTACGGTATATATAGCAGAGTGGTTCTGAAATAAGGTCATGCATCTTATTAGGGATGTGTGTGTGTGTGTGTGTGTGTGTGTGTGTGTGTGTGTGTGTGTGTGAATGGAGGTGCTGTGTGGAGGTCGGAGGACAGTTTGGATGCTGGCCTTCACCATCCACTTGTTTAACACAGGGCCGTTTGGTTACTGCTGCTGTTGCCAGTCCAGCTCGCCCATGACCTTCCTGGGAGTCTTTAGTTTCCACTTCCCATTTCCCAGTAGGAGGGCTGATAATACACACTTACATTATGTGTCTGTCTCTCACCTGAGTCCTGGTATCCAAAATCAGGTCCTAGCCTTGGGCAGCAAGTGCTTTTACCTGCGGAGTCCTCTGCTCATCCTTACTACCTGTAAATCACTTGATTAAAGTATTCTTCACAGTCATTTGGCAATAGTAAGCACATTAGTTTCCTCAGCATAGTGTGTAGTGAGTGCTTTTATTATCCTTTGACACACACAGAATACAGTCGAGAGTGGCTGACCCACCTCCCAAGGTGTCCTAAGGCTGCCGGGAGGGGGCTGTCCTGAGAAGCTGACCCCTCCACAGAGTTGTTGAGGCCTAGAGGCCAGTTCCCCTTTCTCAGGGATACCTGTTTGGCGCAGCACTCTTCGCAAGTCCTTCAGACTTGTTCAGTGCTTCAGGTCCTCACATGCCCACGAGGCTCACTTCCCCCTTCCTTCTCATCTCAGGAACTCAGAGTGTGGATGTGGCCTGCTGTGTGGAGTTTTTCCCCAACAAGCATTTCTTTTTCTTTTTCACATGGGAAAGAAGCTTTATTGAGGGAAGGAAAGGGAGTGGAAAAAGAAAAATGAGAGAGGGGAGAGAGAGAGAGAAGAGAGAGACACAGAGAGACACACACACAGAGAGACAGAGACAGAGAGACAGACAGACAGACAGACTTGTCTGTCTCTTCAGAGAAATGCTGGAAAGATAGAAAAGAGCTCCCAGGAAGCATTTCTGTGATGCCCTCTGGAAATTACAAAAGTCAGTTGATTTCTGGCATTAACTGGGGTTAACACAGACCCCAAGATCTGTGAACCCACCCTTTGATGGCTGAACCACCTCTTCAGCCCCAGAGTTAGCACAGATCCCAAAGGCTAGGGATCAGGCCCACAAGACTGAATAAACCCTATTTCATATGACAATTATAGGAAGCACATCCCCAGGTTAATCGCAACTTTTTTCTCACATGGTTACAAGTCATGGAGTCCCAAGGCTCCCTTCTTTGGTAGAGTAGCTCACAAAATCCAGGAAAACATTGTGATTATTGCTAAAGGCACCCAAGGAGCAGTCATGTGAAGAAACACATAGACAGGGTTTATCTGGGCCCCCAGTACAGGAATTATTGTCCTCCTCAAGTTGGTGTACATCACTCTTCTGGCATATAGATGATCTCGTTCATCGGCTGGGAGCTGTCTGAACTGCATTCTTTAGCATTTGAGTAGAGATTTCATCACGAAGGCATGATTAACAAACACAGTCTCTAGCTGCTTCCCCTTCGGGAGGATGGGGGCTGGGCAGGTAAGGCTGAAAGTCATTCAGGTGACCAGCCCCATCCATGAGTCCACCTAGAACCGTCTACCAAGATGCTCCTGTTATCAGAAAAAGCTGAGAGATTGGAGACTGTGCCTCACGATGAGGACCACGTATGAGGACAAAAGATGTCCCCAGTGTCCCCAGTGCTCAAAGATTAAGGATTTTAATTATGTGCCAGAAGCTCAAGACAAAACTCTAAATATTCATATTTCACTATAAATCACACTCTCATGGAATGAACTACCCTGACACCTGAGCACCCCACACGAGGTATACATAGACAAAACCAGAAGCTAGATTCAAAATTTGGCTTCAAGGTGTCATTGGGCAAGTGATTTGCTTTCTCAAACCTCACCTGCTTCATCTGAAAAATGGGCTGGGGATGTAGCTCAGTGGGTAGTGAGCTTGTTTTGTATGTGTGACTCTACTCGGGGTCGGCACAACACAGTTAGAAGTTCAAGGCCCTTGGCTACATACTAAGACTCTCAAAAGTAAAGAAATAAAATAACAAACAATTACCCTCTCCTAACATGAGGCTAAATGACAATGTGTTAATGTTAAGCTTGGTAATGAATGAATGTGGTTTTCTTTCTCCTACTCTTGAAACATAACAGGAGACAGGATAGAATTTCATGGTATTTTGTCAAAGAGCCCAGGAGAAAACTGTCAGACAAAGTAGCACAACTTTTCATGGGTGCTGAGATGGGATTCTGGGCCCCCAGATGAGTCTCGGCTCAGCTTCCCCCAGAAGGGCCTGGTCTGTGCCCATAGGCACTGGGGGTCATCGTGTGAACGTGGAGGGCATTCTTATAACAAGACACCATGAGTCCCTCTGGGAGGGAGAGGCTGTGCCCTGACCCTGTGAGGGGAGGCATGGCATGGCCATCCATGTTTGCTCTGCCAAGGCTTTGGAGGATCTGTGACATTGTTACTTTTAGAGGCGTTGGCCCCAACCTGCTTGTCAACCCCAGGAGGATTGGGGCATCATCACCTCAGGCCAGGCAGGTTCCATTAATCACCTTTTTGTTAGTTTTGATCCTTCACCGAGAGAGCCAGGGTTCTTGCTTTGGGCTGAATCATGCCTTTCCAGTGAGAGAGCTGAGCCAGCAGTTTGAGATGGGAGGGCTGGGCAAGGTCAGAGGTTAGCCCCAATTCTGGACTCATCATGGTGTTTAAACACCCCAGCATACCCTGGGTCTTGCTCTGGCAGGACCACCTAACTTCTGGGTGACCACGGGTCCACTTTCTTACCTCTGAACACAAAGGTGGCAATGTCCCCACTCAGCACTCTCTTTCCTAGTCTTGCTGAATCAGCACAGAGAGTTCTGGGATGATCTCACATCTGTGCCACCTAGCCTCAGCCCCCATCTGATATCACTAAGCCCTCACACTCCTGTGGCTCAGAACCCTGCTCCTGAGACCCATCCATCCACGGTAACTGTGGCCCATTGGTGTGAGGAAACTGGGGGGCCTAGGCTGGGATCCTTCCTTCTCAACCTTGGAAACTTCTTTCCTATCTCAGGTTCTGAGAGGGACCCCTCAAGACCTTTTCTTCCAGCTGGACTAGCAAGGCCCCCTCTGACAGTGTCTTTGGGGGTCCCAGTGCTTCTTAGCTACACTCTGTCTTCAGAAGAGATCCTGATCCTAAGCCCTGAGACACAACCTCCTATGCATCTCTCAGTCAAATGCTTACAAACTGAAGCAGAAATCACGAGAGATGGCCCTGCTTAGGGACTCCACAACCTTTGGAGATTTGGAAGGTGCCCTAAGACAGTCAGAATAGTAGAATATTAGCTTCACGTGTTGGACTGACCCAGGGCTTTTGAAACTCAACCCTGTAAACCTTTGGGGTATGGTAAACCATTGCTGTGGAGAATTTTCTGATCATCACAAGATGTTTAGCGACATCCCCTATGTCTACCCTTTGTACATCAGGAGCATCATTTAATTGTGACAACCCAAACAACTCTAGACATTGTTAAATGTCTTCTGTCAAGCCGAGTTGCCTCTCGTGGAGAACCTAAGGACTCATTTCTAATGACAGAAGCTGGAAGAATGATCTTATTAGGGGCACAAGCTACAAGTCGATGCTCAGGAAAGGTATCATGAGTTTACTGAGTGCTGGAAGGTTCTGGATAGTGGGAGCATGCATGGGTGACAAAGCAATTAGACACTTAGGATTTATAAACTTTACTGTATGAAAAATAGAGGTAAAATGAGTCTGGGGACAGGTAGAATTAGCCTTGGGGTTTAGTTCTGATTCTACCGTAAGATTCAGTTCTCTGTGTATAAAGTGGGGGATAATACAGAAGCCACCTCCTGGGCTGCTGCTAAGAGGGAAGAAACTGAGTGCAGGGCTGGTGAGATGCTCAGCAGGCCAGAGTTTCATTCCTAGGACACACAGAAGGAGAGCCGACTCCCAACAGTTGTCCTCTGGCCTCCACAGAGTGTTACAGCACATGTCCCCAGTGCACAGAGTAAAGAAATGCAACTGAAAAATTAAAAAAAAAGAAACTGAGTGTAAAGCATACTAGTGGGGTTACTTCCGCTTCCTGTGCTTCAGTTTCCTCAACTGTGGGGTCTCTTCTTAGTGTTGCCTTTTAGAACCCTTCCTTCCTTCCTTCCTTCCTTTCTTCCTTCCTTTCTATATTTGTTTTTATTTCATGGGCATGAGTGTTTCATTGCAGTCATGAGTGTTCCTGGTGCCTATAGAACCCAGAAGAGGGAGTGAGATACCCTAGAACTAGAGTTACAGACAGTTGTGAGCTCTCATATGGGTATTGGGAACTGAACTCAGGTCCTCGCCCCAAACAGCAAGTATTCTTAGCCATGGAGCCAACTCTCCAGTCCCTGGAACCATTTCTTTCTCAGGCTAAATGTATTCAGTGTGCTTAATTCTCTAAGATCAACAAAGCTTGTCATCAGAAGTGCTGGGAGCATTGGCATAGATGAAGTGCTAAGGGGTTTCTAGAACATTCCAGATAGATGTTTTAGAAGCAGAAAGAAGCGTAGTGAGGGTTATGGCTATTCCACCTAGTATAGGGCCACTTAGCAGCCTGGCGTTCCCCTGAGGAGGCTCTCTGGCGGACCATTGCAGTTCAGTCCCCATTCTAACACTGGGCAGGGCTGGGATGGAGGTTCTCAACTGGAAAGGTGAAGTAGAATTTGGTTGTCAAAAGGATAGTCTCAAGCAGAACACTGCTCCCTCTGAATCATCTCTTTTGTTAAGGATTAAAAGGAAAAAAAGCCACCCCCAAAGACACAACCCACCCTGGAGAGTAGAGGTAACTGGGCTTGTGGGAAATAAGGTGCAGTTGGCATCAGGTCAGAGGGTGGGGAAGGGAGGAGAGAGGATGTCCCACCCCTGTGGAGGGTGTATAAAAGGCATGCACAGCAGGGAAGAGCCACAGTCCTCCTTGGCCTTGGTCAAGTTCTGCTCCTGACTGCTCCTGCTCTTACTCTTGCTCCCGCCATGAGCTGCCGCTTTCAGAGTTCCTCCACTAGCTATGGAGGTGGTTTTGGGGCCGGTTCTTGCCAGCTTGGAGGAGGCCGTAAAATCTCTACCTGCTCTTCTCGGTTTGCCACTGGAGGGTCAGCTGGAGGCTACGGAGGTGGCATGAGCTGTGGCTTTGGTGGAGGGGCTGGTAGTGGTTTTGGGGGTGGCTTTGGAGGTAGCTATGGTGGCGGCTTTGGTGGGGGCTTTGGAGGTGGCTTTGGTGACTTTGGAGGTGGCGATGGTGGCCTCCTGTCTGGCAATGAGAAGATCACCATGCAGAACCTCAACGACCGCCTGGCCTCCTACCTGGAAAAGGTGCGCGCTCTGGAGGCAGCCAATGCTGATCTGGAGGTGAAGATTCGTGACTGGCACCTGAAGCAGAGCCCAGCTAGTCCAGAGCGGGACTACAGTGCTTACTACAAGACCATAGAGGAGCTCCAGGTGAAGGTGAGGCCTCTGATGCTGAGAAGGCTTTCTCAGTGCAGGGCAGAGCGTCAAGAGCTAGGACGTGCAGTGTTGCAGAGCACCACTCGTGGATGGAATTCATACACTTGCAGGGGGAACAGTCTAACTTTGCACTGCCAAGACTTTCTACTACTGAAGTTTTCTTATGTGGTGGCCCAAACGCTTTCTCTCCCATACTTCATGTTTATTGGTGTCATTAATCCTGCTAATTTTTATGGCTTCCTGAACTGTTACTTGTGACTCAGTTGCTATAACCTAACCTGCAGAGTTATTTGGAAAGGTGACATTTTAAGAAGTCACTCTGAATGGCTAAAAACCATCAGAGAAAAGACATCTTCATTCACTGTATATTTTGGAAGAACCGTATAAACTTATTCTCAGTAGATGATGACTCAGGGGGGTGTAAAGAGGTAGAGGCTCAGGCTGGCTTAGAGCCTAGAATCGCTCAGTGATGCCTGTCTGTCACACCGCGACACCAACTTGTTAGAGCAGAAATCTACTAGCCTGGATCAAGCCCTAGTTATGCAGGACAGGGTATAATGCTTAGACTGGAAATGTTTGGGCAAGAGATTCAATTGCATGTGTTTCCTCCTTGCTTATCTGAGAAGTCAGCTCCCGGGACATGGCCAGAATATATCTGGGTCACACTGAACCCCTTTTGTCTTTAAGGGGGAAGGCTCTCGAGACAGCAGCCTATACAAGGAACAGCCCTGAGATATGTCTACTGGGAGATGCCCTGAGTGGGTGTTTCCTCTGAAATGTCCACCCTTGGCCTCTCCCACCCTGACCTGATGGGGAATGCTCAAGAGAAACGAGGGTGCTAAGAGGGTGCTGGCCTTGCCTCTCACCTCACAGCGTGCTTTGTCTCCCTCAAGCATAGTCAAGACGTCCAATTTTGCTCTCTAAGCACAGCTCCAGAGTGTCCATCTGTGTTTTGTAGATCCTGGAAGCCACTACTGACAACAACCGGGTCATCCTGGAGATCGACAATGCCAGGCTGGCTGCAGATGACTTCCGGCTCAAGTGAGTCTATTTCCCTCATGTCTTTCCCAGCAGACTCTTACGTTAGAGGAGCACCCATCTGATGGAGGGAACTGGGACATCCAGGAGCAAAGGCCTTGGGGTAGTAGAGGAACTCAGTGTATCTAATATTATTTATGTTTTGCTTTAATTCTTTAAAATATTTCAGGTATGAGAATGAGCTGACCCTGCGCCAGAGTGTGGAGGCTGACATCAACGGCCTACGTAGGGTGCTGGACGAGTTGACCCTCTCTAAGACTGACCTGGAGATGCAGATCGAGACCTTGAATGAGGAGCTGGCCTACCTGAAGAAGAACCATGAGGAGGTGAGAGGGGATGACAGACCTGCTATGGGCTGAGTCACCTCTGGTGAGCAAGGGGAGCCCTCTGCTGCAGGCTGACATTGCCATCTGCTGTGGGGTCCTGAAGACTCTTCCAGAACATTCTGCTGTCACTCAGGGATAAGGAGAAGGGGGAACCTCTCACATCTTCCTTCCCTACCCCACAGGAGATGAAGGAGTTCAGCAACCAGGTAGTAGGCCAGGTCAATGTGGAGATGGACGCCACCCCTGGCATTGATCTGACCCGTGTGCTGGCTGAGATGAGGGAGCAGTATGAAGCCCTGGCAGAGAAGAATCGGAGGGATGCAGAGGAATGGTTCCAGACCAAGGTACTGGTGTTCCTAACCCACATAGCTGGGTGGTGCTGGATGGGTGGGACACTGGTTTTGGTCAGGACTCCTTGCTAAGTCCCACCGCCCCCTTCTCTCTGCTTGGCATTCAGAGTGCAGAGCTGAACAAGGAAGTATCGTCCAACGCTGCCATGATCCAGACCAGCAAGACAGAGATCACAGAGCTCAGGCGCACACTCCAGGGCCTGGAGATCGAGCTGCAGTCCCAGCTGAGCATGGTACCCTCTGCTGCTCATGCCCTGTGACCCCCCCCCCTACTAGGTCTCGCTCTGTACTGGCTCCCCATAACTTCCTCCTTGTTGTCCCATCAGAAAGCTGGCCTGGAAAGCACCTTGGCAGAGACAGAGTGTCGCTACGCCCTGCAGCTGCAACAAATCCAGGAACTCATCAGCAGCATTGAGGCCCAGCTGAGCGAGCTCCGCAGCGAGATGGAGTGCCAGAACCAGGAATACAAGATGCTGCTGGACATCAAAACACGGCTGGAGCAGGAGATCGCCACCTACCGCAGCCTGCTTGAGGGCCAGGATTCCAAGTAGGTCCCTGGCACCTGTTGTCTGAGTGGCCACAGGAACGGCAGCTGGCAGAGCAGGCCGGGTCTTGGAGATCTGCTTCCTCTTGCTGGAGAGGTGACAGCTTCTCTCTGAGCTTAAATAGTCTGGCAAAAGAACTGGGGTCAGAGCCCCTCCTCATGTCTCCAGTTAGACTGAGGAACTGCTCTGCAGCAGGCTGTCAGGGTTAGTACCTTTGTACAACACGGTTCCAGCCCGTTTGTGGATAGAAAAGGGATGTGGAAGGAGCATTTTGTTAGCTGGGATGTGGTCCAGCCAGACAAAGCTGTTAAGACAGTGGTTTGGGATGACCACATAGCTCCATGACAGAGTGCCTGCTTGGCTCTGTCCCTGCACCAAGGAGAGAGAGGATGGTGGTTTTAACTGCTTTCATGCTATTTGCAGAGACCAAGCCATCCTTGTGGGTTTAGGAGAAAGCTGGGGGTCAGAGAGCAGAGTGAAGTAGACATCCTAGATCTTGGGACCAATAGTATCTCCTTTTGAGGGGTTTCAGACAGACAAATTGGCAAGACAGGTTGACAGGCAGGATACCTTGGGGGAAAGAAGTTTCCTGGGCTGGAGACAATGTTGGGAAAGATTCTAAGTCAAGGCTCCGGAAGGTGATGGAGTCCCTACATCAGGGGACCAGGAAATGCCTGTCTTCAGTTGCCTTCTACTCATGGCTGTTTTCCCCTCCCTTCCAGGATGACTGGCTTCAACAACTCTGGAGGTGAGGAGGAAGCTCAGTGGGAAGTGGTTTGAGCTGCTGAGCTTGGGTGGAGGTGGGCTGGGAGGGAGGCAGTGCTGGCTCCCAAGTACAAGGATGGAGGGAACTGGGCGGAAACCGTTACTTGATTATTGGCTCATTGATATAAATGTCTCTGCAGAGCCATGGGGTTGTCTCGGAGAAAGCCACCCTTAGGGACAATAATAGAATCCCCACCTACATACCTCTTGGCTACTTAGGAGCTTGTGAGCCTTCCTGGGGGTGTTGGCTCAGCCTGGGGTGGGGTTTCTCCAGCCTGAGCATCTTGTCTTCTCTCTATCTCAGGAAATGGCTCTACTTCTACCTCCAATGCCTCCTCCTCCCCCTCCACTTCCGGCCGCCTGGACTTCCGCAAGTATTAACTGAGTCCGAAGTCCCTTCCCTGGCCTTCAGCAGCTGCAGGAGGAGAGTTGACTGCGCCTGTAGGATGAGAGGACTGCGGAATGTGAAGCCAGTCCCATTGTCTCCACATCTCTGACAACCTCTGAGGGCGGGCCTGCCCCCTTCTCTCCTGACTGGAGGCCTTCTCTTCCTTACCCTTCTGTCCCTACTCTTTGGTTTCTCAATATCTCTACTAAAAAGAATGGATAATTCAATAAAGGTTCCTGATTTTCTGCAAATCATTTTGTTTCTGGCCTGGTTTCTGAAGGTGGCCTCTACCAAGGCCTGATTTGGGTTATGGGTTAGGTGGGTACAGGTGGGCTGAGCAAATAATTTAGACACTGATTGGGAAAATGGAGACCCAGAACAGGTATCCCAGCTCTAACTGGCTGCCTTCCAGGCTGGCAACTCTGGTTTGGCCTGAGATATCCTCCTCTCTATGTTCCTCTGCACACCTCAAGACCTTACAACTCTAAATCACCTGGGGACTAGCCCACGACTCACTCAGCACCTCAGCTTGCCCTGGTCTCTGGCTACCCACTCTCTGGTCTCCCTGCTCTTTCCTGCTTCTCTGGAGTCTTGGTCCAAAGTCATAGCCTCCTCTGGCTGTGCTAATCCTACAAAAATTGACCTCACAAATGTTTTCTGTCTGCTCTTTACACTCCCCTTGGGCCATCCTGGATGTGTCTGTGGCCTAATTACTACATGTCTGATGACCCCTACGTCTGCCTTTCCAGCCTCAGATTCATCCCTTCCTAAACTCTACAGATTTACAGGGCCACACTCATAGATTGCTTCCTCCCTGTTCCACTCTCAGGGACCTGGAGATCCAGGACAGCATCTTCTCCTCTTCTATAAGTCCTTTAGCTCCCATAGCCTCCCTGGTTCTAATTTTCAGGACATGTTACTACATCACCCTCCCTGGCCTCCCTGGCTCCAGTTTGACCCTGCCCCTCACTCAAGCAGGGTTGATGGACTGAAATTTAAAGTCTTATAGCTTAGAGATGACTCTGGAGATGTCCATGGCCACCAAATAAAGGCCAGGCTCCTTTGTAGGCTCAGGTAAGATGGTCTGACCTCACCTCCTTCCAGCCCTACAAGAGTCTCCCCACTGTACCTCAGGTCCCATTATCTAGAGATGCTCTTGATGAAGCCACCATGTGGCTGGGCACCAGGAGGGCCATTGTTCTACAGGAGACCTCAGTCTGACCCTCTTCATCTTCCTCTCCAGAGCACATCTTTGTTTTATCCAAGACTACAAGGTTTTTCTTCCAGTGCACATTGAGATGGATGCCCCTTCTCCATGGCTGATGGAGGGTGTGGCAGGCTTCTGAGTGCTCTCAGGATTGTACCCATCTGTTCTCACTTTGACAGTATGGCTCTAAGGGTAGGGCTGTGTCTTTTCATCTTGGGTCAGGGGGTTAGCTGGTGCTTGTTGGGAGAAGAGAAGAGTTCATGAACTGGGGATCTGCCTTCCAGGTGACATTTGGGTTTTGTCACAGAATTTTTGGCTATAGGGTTGGAGGGTCTCTGGCACCCTTGCCACCTGTCCCCTTTCTCTGGTCTTTCCCTCCCTTTCCCGTCTCTCCTCTGAAGTTTCCCACCCCACCCCAGTGTAACATAGACTCTTCCCACTTGCAGGCTACATGCAGGGGCTTAGGCACCCAGAGGTCACTCAGGCATGCCTGGGCTAGCTAAAGCAGAGACATTATCTGTTCTCCACTCATGCCAGAACCCACTCTGTTCTCCACTATAGAAGGAGGTGGGGCTCAGGTCAAGTTCAATGTCCAGATCTGAAAGGAGCTAAGGTATTACAGAAAAACAGGCCATGCCTGAACTCCCAGTGCTTTTTGATTTTTGATTAATTTCTTTAGGCTGTAGTTACCTGTTGAGTTCTATTGTATTCTCAACACTGAATTGATTCTGGAGAAAGAAAAAAAATACGGCTTCTGTCTTTTAAGGAGTTCTCAGATAAACAGAAACACTATGAGTTCTTCTTCTCCTGCTAATTGCTACATGCTCTGTGGGTTATTAAAATTGAGGACTCAGTAAGTCAGTGTGCACCAAACAGCATTCTGGTCTTGACCTTCCTGGTTCTGTGACTCCCTTTGAGGTAGAAAGAGTTTCAGAGCCACCCACATCCTCATACCTAGGTGCTGAAAGAATGTACTAGATGGAGGACTTGAGGGTCCATGGTAAATGAAAGAAGCAGTAAGCACACTCTACCAGGGGCAGGAAGAAATAGGGTCCCCACCCCAGTCAGGGATGGAAGCTCTCAAAGCTGAGCAGTCCTGGCTGGTTCTTGTTCCTGAGGCCAAAGATTCATTCCCTGACTTGGCATTGACGTGTCCCGTAGAATATGAGGGGAGTCATTCAGAGACAGGAGCTGGACCTCTAAGTGTGCAGAGCACTCTATTTGGGGGCCTTTTGCTAAGATCTCAGAGAGGACTATGAGAAGCCTCAACTAAAGACTTCTGCAGTCCCATGAGGTGTCTCGGGGAAGCTAGGCAGGGCAGGCCAGGAGCAGGTGTTTCTGCAAGGCCACCCAGCAACCTTTCTGGGCTGGGAATAAGGCTGACCCAGCTCTCTGGTCTGGGAGGAGGGAGGGGTGGGGTGGGGATCCTGTCTTTCTGCCTAGGACTCCATCTGTCACTTTAGTCACCCATGTGGGGTGACACTTGAGGGATAAAAGACCTGCTGGGTCAACACTGCCCCTCCCTAGGGGGTTGTCCCAGGTGCTCAGGCCACACCAGGTTCCGTGGCTGCTTTCCAGAGCTTCGGTAATGAGCAAACAGCAGTGACCCAGGGGCTCCTGACTCACATCTGTGTCACACCATGAATGACTGTGTGCTAAGGCAGGAGACCCTAGATTACAATCAGACTGAAAAGGCCAACACACTGTACACTGCATACTCTACCCAGCTCCCCAGTTCCGGGTCACTTCATCTTTGATCATCCCAAGAGCTGCCACTGTCGGACCCATTCTACACACAGGAAGACCAGTTCAGACCTTCTCAGTGATAGACCTAGTTCAAAGGATGGGATCCACATTCCAAAAGGCTTACTGAGGTGCTGGTTGGTACTTGGTTGAGGGTCATCTGTTCACTCTCAGAAATGTGGGAGAGGGACAAGACTCCCAGACCCCTGTGCTCAGGTAACAAAAAGAGTCAACCAGGGTACACTCCTGTGATGTCCAGGAGCCTCAGTTCTAGGTAAGGTTCCCGAGTGGGGCTTGTGGATTGGTGGGAAAGCCTGACATGTGACAGGTGATGTACTATGCTGGTTCAACGCTACAATTCTTAAGAGGCTCCTGGCTTCTCACCTTGAGCGAAAGATACCTCTCCATCCTCAAGGTTCTGCCCTTAGTGAATGGACCAGTACATGTCTGCCCATCTGATGGGGCTGTTTGTCCTGCCTGGGACCTGCAGAGGGCAGACTCATGCCAGAAAGCAGACTGGGGCCTCTGGCCACCTGTTGGGACCCAAGGTAGAGGGGCGGAGCCTTAGATTTGGTCCCAGAAGAAGGCCTTCTCTGTCCCCAGATTTTGGTATGGCAGCCAGGCACCAGGGGAACAAGGTGAAACTGAGCAGAGTTCCATGTCTGAGGTTCCTTTGATACTTGGGTCATCTATTTTGGGTGGCAGTATTGACCATCCAAACAGGAGTTTGAGACTTCCCTAGCCTTCCTGGAAGGGAATCCTACTGTCCCACCCTAGGGAAGCCTGCAATAAGACAGCGAAGGGATGCCAAGATTGTAGTCAATAAGGCCTGATGATACATTGTCCCAAAATACCCCATGTCCCTACTGGGAATCTTTTTTTTTTATTTCCTGCTTTTGGGTCCATGTATCTTAGAGAGCCTATGTTCTTTTGGATGGTATGCTTGGGACTGTTGGGGGTAGAGTAGGGTACCTGAGCTACATTCCTGGGGTTCTGGGAGATATGGCCACACTGTGTCCCCTCATGGAGTCTGGGAGGGGACAGATGGATGGGTGACTGCAGAGACTTGTTCAGGCATCTGTTGGGGATGGGCTTTTGGTAAAGTTGGCTGGTGTCTGGCACTTATTCTCCAAACAACTTTCATGATCGGTCATAACAGCCATGTGACTGCTTTCATCCGAGCATCTCAGAGAGACTTAAAAGTAAAACCCATGGTGTGTAGGGTAGTTAATGATAGCCTGGGGCCCCGGGCCTGGCCCCAGAGATCCTGCTGTTAGCAAGAGGCGTGTGGTTATGTGGACTGCACAGCATCTGTAAATGCTGATGGCTGAGCCAATCAGATGGGGGTGTTTGGGGGAGGTTTTGCTTTGTGGTTCAGTTAAGTGATACTTGAATGGAGGGGACGCAGACATTGATGTCCCTGTCCCAGTATGCCTGACAGTGCATCTCCCACAAACCACAGGTTCTCTAAGCACACTGGGGAGAAAGGCAGTGCTGTGGAATTCTCAGACTGTAAAAGCTGAGTGAGGGGAGGAAGGACTTAGGAGCTCTGAGCAGAAGGCCATGTTCTTCAGATGGGAGCTGCTGACCAACATGGTCGTGCTGAAAGAGCTGGCCCTCTGGGAGAGGGCTCTGGGCCCTGAAACATGAAGGCAGAGCATGGCCACAAGAGGACTGGAGAGGTATGGCTTTCTGCTGGGTCCAGTGGCTTCCTGGACACTCACTGTGGCAAGACACATGGCCGGCTCATTCTGAGCAGACTTTCAAAGTCTGGGGCAATAACCAAAGTTACTCTTGGGGGAGATTTTTTTTGTACTTTTTTGGGGTAGATATTCTGGAGCATTCTGGGCTTGGTAAAGTGGGAATTTCAAGACCTAGTGAGGGTAAGCTAGACCAAGGGAGAGTTTTAAGAGAATATCAGGGTTTTGGAGAGTTGAGGCCCTAGAGCTTTGAATAGGGAGCCACTGTTTAAGGCCAATGAGGGAATGGGTGAGTGACCTCCTTGGTCACCTAGTTTGTCCTGAGTCCAGTGAAGCCTGGCGACAGTGAGGCATCTGAGAGATTGGAAATAGAGAAGACAGAGATTTGAGAGTCCTGCTCGGCTGAGTCACCTACTGGAAGGAAGCTGGGGTCGGAGCAGAATGTCACTGAAGTGGTTAAGATCAGAGGGATGACAGCTTAGCCCCCAAACCTCTGTGTCCTGCTCATGGATCCTGGGAAGGCACACAGAGCCGTCACTGAGACAGGACATAGGATAACTCAAAGGTCATGGTTTCCCAAGGGAAGTCTGATTGACCTGTC